TAGCAAGTAAAAATTCAGAAATTTCTCTTCAGGTACGGTAGAGGGGACAACTCAGGATTCGCATGAATTTAACCTTCATAACCTTAATCAGTTAATTAGACCAAAAGGAGGTGATAAGAGAGTAGAATTAATAATAAACTTAATTACCTACTTGAAATAAAGGAAACCCTCAACTTCAAAAAACCCTTAAACTATTAGAGAACTCATAACAGTGTAAGGTTGGTTAATTAAGCCTATTAAAACCAATAAAGATAATTCAATTTAATTTTGGAAATTATGTTTGAAATTATCCAATTAAACAATTAGATAATCAACCAACTTAATTAAACAATCAAGAGGTAAAAGAACCCAAATTTTGCAATTCAAACCACATTGATAATCAAACTCATAATGAAAACTCAATTATAAATTCAATTAACAATGTAAAGGTTCTAAACATATATTCCAACAAGTATCTTGGCACAAATAAGATCCAAATATCTATTTAATCCAAGAATAAAATTGACAATCTAGAACTAAATTGTCTCAACAAAATTACAACTTAAAATCATTTAAAACTAAACAATTTCAAGTCCTTGAATTACAAAGACAAATGGAATATCACTCCCTTGTGGTCTTCAAGTGCTAGCCCAAGGCTCTAGTCTCCTTCATACTCCTCCCAAGTTGCCTCCCTAACAAGCTTAAGTTGCCATGAAAATTATTTTCCCTCCAAACTTAATGACGTGGAGAACAGCCATGTGGGTGAGAAAATTGAAGAAAAGTGGTGTGGGTTATTGGCGTGGTACTGGAGAGAGGTATTCAAGATACTGATTTCCCAATGATTTGAGGGTGTATCATAGGTTATTCAAAGGTGGTGAGAGGCTTGACGTGAATGAGGGGGAGGAGACAATTGGCGTTAAAAAATGATGTCCGTTCACGTTGAATTGTGCGTGAATGAATGGAGATGGAAGTCCCTCCTAGGCGTGAATCCCTCCTCCAAAAATAAGAAAAATAGTATAATGAGGGAAAAGGAAATTTCTGTGGATCCAAAGCTCAAGCCTATTAGTAATTCATTGACCCACTTGATATTAGCCATTGGATCTTCTATATGCTCTTTTTTGACCTGCAAGAATTTAAGTGCATCTATTAATGTAGATTATACCCAAATATAATCAAAAATTAAATATCAGATATGCACAAAAATTAGGCAAGAAATTGCAAAAATTTCTAAAATTAATCTTTCTAAAAATATGAGACTTGTTTCCAAAGAAATAGAAAAATTAATTCCAAGTCAAAATAAATCACTAAATATTTATATTTTTAATCCAAAATCTCAATTTTTCTGCAAAATCCAAAAATCAACCAATTAATCCAATTATGCATAAAATCTAATTAAGCTCAAAATTATCATTTAAATTCTGAATTAATGTGGGATAAAATATATAAAAATTGGGCTTTATCAGGTTTTTTTCTCTCACTGAATGTATTGCTCTAATTTCCAACCGTCAAACTTAATTATATTTCTCATATAAATTTCAATATATTGATTGAAATTAATTACCCTACTAGGCTTGAGTTTTATTTGACTACGGCCATACTCAGAATATTTTATTAATTTTCTAATTAAATATCTAAATAGTTATAATAATAATTAAATGTCTCACACAGGATATTTTGTTTAGATTTTATGTACTGTTTGAATAACCATTTAATTTGCAAATTTGTCGTAGACATTAACTTCCCTTTCAGTGAGGTGTTAGAGACAATGTTCTTCACATTTATCTACCATTAATGAAAAATGGCACCTCTACTCCAACGCATGGGTTGATTTTTCAATATTTTAAAAGTCTTCCACTTTTGTCTATTGGGAAAATGATCAGCGACCTGTCTGTCGATGTTGCAATCTATCCTTTTCCTTGTCCCAACTTGCATATTGGAAGAAAAGACCTCAATATCAAGAAGAGTGGAAGAAAAGAAAGAAAAAGTAAATAGGACAACAGATACACGTTGCATTCTTTCAGACAAAATATTCTTTTTCGATTCTTAATTTTTTGTATGCCTTCCCTTAGGAAAACGGAATCATCTAAGCTGCAAGCATGTGAAGAATCAATTGAGTTGCGTGTGAAGACCGGTGGCTGTTTTACGACAAATGGTTAATCTTACTCACTCAAAGTCTTATATCATTAAGGAAAAAAAATGGATCTGATAAGTAATAATTAAAAATTAAAGAGGAATAAGATAAGATGAAAAAGATAGAAAATAAAGCTAGATTCAACATATGGGACGTAAGGCAGATTCATATAACCAAATAAATAGTCTAGATGATACAAATATGAATCCTCTTATAAAAATATGGCGGAAAACTTCATAAATACCTCATGCATAGGTTTATAAAAATAGAGAACTACAAAATAGAACAAGATTCAGAAGAAAATAAACATTCTAGTCTGTTGTGACCAGCAAAAGTTACAGTGATGGCAACCAGAATTAGTCATCGCCAGTTAGGAGACCTCAAATGAGCCGATAGGGTTTCCTCTCACTGAATGTGTTGCTCTAATTTCCAACCGTCAAAACTTAATTATATTTCTCATATAAATTTCAATATATTGATTGAAATTAATTATCCTACTAGGCTTGAGTTTTATTTGACTACAGCCGTGCTCAGAATATTTTATTAATTTTCTAGTTAAATATCTAAGAAGTTATAATAATAATTAAATGTCTAACATAGGATACTTGGTTTAGATTTTATGTAATAACCATTTAATTTGCAAATCTGTCGTAGACATTAACTTCCTTTTCAGCGAGGTGTTAGAGACAATGTTCTTCACATTTATCTACCATTAATGAAAAATGGCCCCTCTACTCCAACGCATGGGTTGATTTTTCAATATTTTAAAAGTCTTCCACTTTTGTCTATTGGGAAAATGATCAGCGACCTGTCTGTCGATGTTGCAATCTATCCTTTTCCTTGTCCCAACTTGCATATTGGAAGAAAGACCTCAACATCAACAAGAGTGGAAGAAAAGAAAGAAAAAGTAAATAGGACAACAGATACACGTTGCATTCTTTCAGACAAAATATTCTTTTTCGATTCTTAATTTTTTGTATGCCTTCCCTTGGGAAAACGGAATCATCTAAGCTGCAAGCATGTGAAGAATCAATTGAGTTGCGTGTGAAGACCGGTGGCTGTTTTACGACAAATGGTTAATCTTACTCACTCAAAGTCTTATATCATTAAGGAAAAAAAATGGATCTGATAAGTAATAATTAAAAATTAAAGAGGAATAAGATAAGATGAAAAAGATAGAAAATAAAGCTAGATTCAACATATGGGACGTAAGGCAGATTCATATAACCAAATAAATAGTCTAGATGATACAAATATGAATCCTCTTATAAAACTATGGCGGAAAACTTCATAAATACCTCATGCATAGGTTTATAAAAATAGAGAACTACAAAATAGAACAAGATTCAGAAGAAAATAAACATTCTAGTCTGTTGTGACCAGCAAAAGTTACAGTGATGGCAACCAGAATTAGTCATCGCCAGTTAGGAGACCTCAAATGAGCCGATAGGGTTTTTCCTCTCACTGAATGTGTTGCTCTAATTTCCAACCGTCAAAACTTAATTATATTTCTCATATAAATTTCAATATATTGATTGAAATTAATTATCCTACTAGGCTTGAGTTTTATTTGACCACGGCCATGCTCAGAATATTTTATTAATTTTCTAGTTAAATATCTAAATTGTTATTGTTGATGATTACTCCCTCTGTTTTATGTCCTAAGAAGTCTTTTGGAAGGAATTTTTACTCTATTTTATAAGACGTTTTGATAATTTGTCAATAAACATTGAATATTTTTTCTAATATATGCTCATATTTAATAAAGATAACAAGAGGATAAACTGATACTGTGATAGGACGTAGTGTAGTTAATAAAGATAATATTAGGAATCGCTTAAATTTCACAAGAAATTTAATACTTTTAACTATTTTTATTGGTACATGTAAATTAGTTAGAAACGTTTTATACTATGAAGCAGAGTACTAATCTTGATACACATAGTTCTCACAAGATTGTGTGATGACATCTTCAAATTATATATGAGATTGTAACAAGAGATGGAAAAGGCAAATTGATTTTCCCGGGGGTTTGGAATTTATGTGTTGTACTAACATTTGTTAAAAATATAAATTTTTAAACATCTATTAAGTTATATAATAATAAAATTGATCAAGTAAAATATAATTGCCTTAATACAAGCTAAATAACTACCAAGGCAAGTCTTCATTCAACTAGTTTGTATATAATGGCACAGGCATATATCACTATTAGAAATGTCAAATGACATCGTCAATAAATGACTGTTAGTTCATATGCTTATATATGTCTCTTAACATCCATTGCGTTTATTACAGTATTCTCATTTTGTTTGAAATTTCCTTCATAGCCATGGGATTCCTCTTCAAAAAGCATCAATTTTCTGAGAAGCTAACACTTTGGTGGGTGCTATTGGTTGGCTATTTAACATTGTTTCCACCATCTCCTGTTTCCTCTTTCATGACTTCACCAAACAGTGAAGCAAATGCTTTGCTAAAGTGGAAAGCTAGCCTTGACAATCACAGCCAAACTGTGTTATCATCATGGAAGGATAATAGCAGTCGTCCTTGCAAATGGGTTGGAATTACATGCAATGAGCTCAACTCAATTTCCAGTATATCTCTTCCAAATTTTGGATTAAAAGGTACACTTGATAGTCTCAACTTCTCATCTTTCCCTCATCTCCAATTCCTACATGTGCAATTGAACTCATTCTATGGGAATATCCCTCCCCAAATTGGTGAACTCCCCAAACTCAGTTCTATAATTTTTTCCTATAATGAGCTCTCTGGTAGCATTCCTTCAAGTATTAGCAACTTGTCCACACTCTCACAACTTTCTTTAACTCAAAATCATCTATCTGGAGCACTTTCATCAATAATCACACTATTGACTGAGAATATTGTTGTTTTAGAGCTGGGTTTTAATGATTTCAATGGCCATGTCCCTGAAGTGATAGCAAATTTGGCCAATTTGACTTTATTGCATCTAGGAGACAACTGCCTTTCTGGCCACATTCCTCCCCATATCGGAAGGATGACTAACCTGTGGTACTTAGCTCTTGGAGGTAATCAGTTTACTGGTTCTATACCCCATGAGATCGGAATGATGAAGGGACTTGTTCAACTTGACATGTCAAGCAACAATCTCTCTGGTAGCATCCCCAGTACTATCGGAAACATGTCTAGTTTACAACAAGTTTATCTTTATTCCAATCAAATTTCTGGGCAGATTCCACAGCAAATTGAGAAACTCTATTCTTTGGAAAGATTGCAATTGTCAGACAATAACATAGTGGGGTCAATCCCACCATCCATAGGGAACTTGATCAATCTAAGCAACCTTCTCCTTTTTGAAAACAACATTTGTGGATCTATTCCGTCTAGCATTGGAAACTTGACAAAGCTCTCCATGCTAGATTTGACAACAAACAACCTCTCTGGATATATTCCATCTAGCATTGGAAACTTGACAAAGCTCTCCGTGCTATATTTAGCATCAAACAACCTCTCTGGATCTATTCCGTCCAGCATTGGAAACTTGACAAAGCTCTCCATGCTATATTTAGCAACAAACAACCTCTCTGGATCTATTCCGTCCAGCATTGGAAACTTGACAAAGCTCTCCATGCTAGATTTGGAAAAAAACAACCTCTCTGGATCTATTCCGTCCAGTATTGGAAACTTGACAAAGCTCTCCATACTACATTTGGCAATAAACAACCTCTCTGGATCTATTCCGTCTAGCATTGGAAACTTGACTGAGCTCTCCCTACTAAATTTGGTTCAAAACAAACTTAGTGGCAATCTTCCACCAGAGATGAATAACCTTACAAAATTGGTAAGCTTGCAACTTGGATACAATGATTTCAAAGGTCATTTGCCTCAAGACATTTGCCTTGGAGGATTACTTACAAAAATCTTTGCAAGTAACAATCAATTCACTGGTCCAATTCCAAGAAGTTTGAAGAACTGCTCTAGCCTTATTAGAGTCAGGCTTGAAAGTAATCAACTTACAGGGAATGTCACAGAAGCTTTTGGTGTATATCCACACTTGGACTATATTGATTTAAGTAACAATGCACTTTATGGCCACTTGTCACCCACATGGGGGCACTGCAATAACCTTACAAACCTTGAGATCTCTTCTAATAACTTGTCGGGGGGCATACCACCAGAACTAAGTCAGGCAACAAAGTTACAACGACTTCATTTTTCATCAAATCACTTGATAGGAAATATTCCAAAGGAATTAAGCCTTTTGTCATTATTGAGTGAACTTAGTTTGAGCAACAATCAACTTTCAAGAAACATTCCTATCGAGATAGGATTGTTGACGAAACTTGAACAATTAAATCTAGCTAACAATCACTTAAGTGGCTCAATTCCAGAACAATTGGGAAGGTTGACCAAATTATGGGAATTGAACATAAGTGGAAATAAGTTCTTTAGCATTCCCACTAGTTTTGGTCGATTGCAACAGCTTCAGTTTCTTGATCTTAGTGGAAACTCATTTACTTGTAGAATCCCAGCAATGCTTGGAGAGCTACAACGATTGGAAACATTGAACCTCTCATGTAACAATTTCTCTGGAATGATTCCTTCATCTTTTGATGATTTGAAAAGCTTGACTATGGTTGACATATCACACAATAAATTAGAAGGTCCACTTCCAAATATTTTAGCCTTTCGTACAGCTACAATGGAGAGATTAATAGGCAACAAAGGCTTATGTGGTAATCTATCTAGCCTACCAATTTGTCCAACAACAAATTTTGAATCAAGCCATTCCAAGAGCAAGAAAGTAGAGATTTATGTTGTATCCTTTAGTTTGGGAGCTGTGATGCTGGCAACATTTTTTGCTTGGATTTCATATATTATTTTCCATCACAAAGCAAGAAAAACAGAAAGTCAAGTGCAAACTCAAAATTTATTTGCCATATGGAGTTATGATGGGAAATTAGTATATGAAAACATTATTGAAGCCACAGAGGAGTTTGATGAAAAATATCTCATTGGAGAGGGAGCATCTGGAAGTGTCTACAAAGCAGAACTATCCACAGGTCAAGTTGTGGCTGTGAAGAAGTTTTATTCAGTACCAGACAAGGATATGTGTCATCAAAAAGCTTTTATGAGTGAGATTAGGGCCTTAACAGAAACTAGGCATAATAATATCATCAAGCTATATGGGTTTTGTTGGCATTCAAAGGTCTCATTTTTGGTTTATGAATTCCTAGAAGGAGGCAGCATAGACAAGATACTAAGTGAAGAGACACAAGCAATTGCATTCGATTGGACTAAAAGAATCAAAGTTATTGAAGGTGTGGCTAATGCTTTATACTATCTTCATCATGGATGCTCACCTCCGATAGTTCATCGTGACCTATCAAGCAAAAATGTTATTTTAGACTCAGATTATGAGGCTCACATCTCTGACTTTGGGACAGCCAAGCTTTTGTATCCAGATTCTAGCAATTGGACCTCATTTGCTGGTACCTTTGGCTATGCTGCTCCAGGTTAAGGATTTTTTATGTTGTGTGATTTCATTACTTTTGAGTTTACATTCGTTATGTTTTATGTTTTTCATTATTTAACAATTAAAAATTCAGCACTAACAGTGTTTTTTTTTTTTCATGATAATCATTTTGGTTTTGTTATAGAACTTTCTTACACAATGGAAGTAACCGAAAAATGTGACGTTTATAGCTTTGGAGTGTTGGCTTTGGAAATAATTATGGGAAAGCATCCAAGAGATCTCATAATTTCGTGTTTCTCATCAACATCTTCTGGTGTAGCACCAATATTAGTTGCTCACAATTTGGATATGAAGAAAGTGCTAGACCAAAGGCTACCTTATCCTCAAGGCTTAGTGGCTGAGAAGGTGATGTTGACTGCAAGAGTAGCTTTCACTTGCTTGAATGAAAATCCACGTGCTCGCCCAACTATTGACCAAGTATGCAAGGATCTTGCCATGCAAAAATCACATCTTTCTGGTTCCATTCCATAGCTTCATATAAGTTCTATTGGAGATCTCAATTGAAAATAAGATAATCACAATGTGATGATGTGTGATGTATTATTGTCTTCATACTTAATGTGTTCCCCTATTCTACTCATGTTTTGCCTTTTGAATAAGGACCAACCCAAAATAATAATTAAATATTGTGTGATTAAGTTGATTAGTGATGTGTTTACCAATTTATAGTTTCCATTACATATTTTTCTAATCCTTGATTTCATAAGACCAATGTTGCACATCATCATTAAGAACTCCATATGACTATGCAGGAGATCAAATGAGATTACTATATGTAGATATGTGTATATATATACTCCCTTTGGTCCTTATTATAAGGGGTTATCTAGGAAAAAATTTTAGTCTTTATTATACAGGGTCAATGAGATCATCAATAAAATTTTTCCTCGTTTACCCCAGGTTACAGGTTATTATTACTCATGTAAATAAATTTTTAATGGCTCAAGTTTGTTATAAGGGTAGATTTGAAATTTTTTATACTTTTAGAAAACATTTAATGATATAACTATCATTTCTTAATCTATGTGAATAGCTTGTTGATCCCGCATAATAAGGACTAGAGGGAGTATGTATAGATATATATTACCCAGTAAAGTAATTAATTTATATTCATGGAAGCGTCACCCAGAATTTATTTGCAATTTTATAATTTTAGGGAACTTATTTTTTTTCAAACACATTGTAAATCTATTTGTTTAGCCTCCTAGACCTTTAGCAATTAGCTAGTCCAATCCAAGTACTAGAAGATCTCCATCTTCAACATCATGTTCCATCTCTATCATCGCAAAATAACAATAAAAATTTTTCAAACACGTTGTAAACTTTTATACCATCTCTAAATAGTAGTGTGTACATATGATGAATTTTTTATTTTTAATACAATAAAAAAAAAACTTCTCTTTTTATATAAGCAAGCAAACAATCATCACTCCACCATTTATCTCCAATATTGTTTTGTTTCAGGTTCTTGATAATATTTATAATAGAAAAAGCTCTTTTAAATGTTTTGTTGCCATATAGATAGTATCAACTACTAATTCCTTGTTGCCATAATTATTCTGTGAAAAAATTTTCAGATTGACTATTTGCTGCCAAAAGTTCCAAGTAAGACAATTTTAAAGAACAAAATTCACCAGAACAAATTAGATTATATTCTTATCCAATGTGAAAAAAATAAATAAATTTCTTAAATTTAAGCATGCTCATGGCAAAAGAAGTTTTCAAGTTATGTCTAAAATAAACCTAGTCAATCACAAAGGAATAAACAAACGCTAAATACAGATATCTAATGTGCAAATCATATATACATGATATGTAAATTAAAATACTTAATGTATAATTGCATGTCTTTTATATATATATATATATATATATATGTGTGTGTGCACACATATACGTGAAAAAATCGAGGGAGACTTACAAAAAAAAACCCCAAATAAATTTTAAAATGACAAATAGATAATTTTGACAGATTTTAACTTATCAAAACTATTACAAAAGTAATAAAAACTATTATAAATATAGTCAACATGACTTATTTGTCTTTTTGAAATTCAACATATGTTTTTCTGTCATTTTCTAAAAAATTTAGGTAACATATATATTGAAAATGATAAGAAAAATGAAGAAAGGATAAGAAACAAATGGGGGTGGGAGAAAAAGAAATCAATAACGTCTAAGCATGAAGTGGGAAAATCCATCTCTAGAATAAAACAAATGTGAGATGTTCAAAAGTTGGGGGCCAACAAACACACCAGCAAACTTAAAAATTAATTTTTTTTTAAAAAAAAGGTCAAATCTGGTTTCCCACGTTGTTGCTCACATTTCAAATTTCATCTTAATCGTGCATGTTGGGAACTTAATTAAAGACAGCAAAAAGGAATGTAATTATGAGAAGACTTGCAGTACCTATTATGCTTGTATTATTACTAAAAAGTCTCTCTCTCTCTCTCTCTCTCTCTCTCTATTACGTAACTATAAGGGCACATGGTTATCATATTATTTATACTTTTGAGATACTTAGCATAATTTGTGTTGAAAGCATCAAATTTATGTTTTAACTTGGATAATAATGTTCAATGACTAATGATTTGTGACTTGGAAACCTTGTAGTTATGGCCTAGTGCCTTGGGAATGTTTTGGTTGTTGTCGAATGTGGATCCACATGAAGCTATCTATTTTGATGATTGGCCTTTATTTAAGAATTTGGGATGTGTATGCTAAACTATTGCTTGCAGGCTTGATCGTTGGACTTGAGTGTCTTGGACTTTGAATGGGTCCATAGTCCACTCGTTATGTATTAATATACACACTATTTTTTGTTTTAAATATAAAAACTAGTTAAAGATTCAATTTAATCATAAATGTAAGACCTTAATTCATTTTGCTTCTCATATTTATTTATTTATTAACAAGGTGGTCATAGCAAATCATCCTTCAATAATCCTTACAATGGTGGCTGTGATTCCGAATTCGGCGGCTTCAACCAATCATCCTTCAAGTGTCGACCACAGCATTCCAGCAGGGTTGGCTTTTTGGGGAATGACTTTTCTCCGCTGCCCCTCTTTTGCATCAAAATGTTGCCGTCTGGTGAAGAAAATGACGAGGAAGAAATACGAGATTGGAGGAAGGCGTGAATGGAAAATTGCTAATTAATTTTTTGTTTGGAAATATGGTTGGGAAATAAAAATGGCTAAAGGTGCACTCATATTTTTTTTAACGTGCATTCAATATCTTAAAATATTTTGTATTTTTAGTTACATTTAACGCTATAAAGAAATTTTTAGCGCTATTTTACACTGAATAATTTAGAATGCTGGATGCACCAAAATAACTAATTTATGAATAATGAACAATTAGTTAAAATTAGTTAAAGGCCATAAATAGATTAGAAATATATTTTTATTTTCAAATATACCTTATAGTAAATGAAAAAAATGATGAAAGAAAATATGTAAGGAAATATGATAAAAGAGAGTATAACAAAGGAGAGAGAATAAATAATTGAGGGAAAAACTAAAAAAATGCATTAAATGTGAAGACAAATCCAAATTAAAGTTTATAAAATAAACCACACTCCTCTCTAAAATTGAAGCTTATAAGTAGGACAAGAAGGAGTATAAGTTTTAGGGTATTATATATGCACACGAAAAATTGTTTCAAGGTGTCAAATGCAATAAAATATAATTTAAGGCGCCGGATAAACCACACCACAAAATACTTTAGGGTATTAAATGCTTCTGAAAAAATATTTACATGCATAAATTAGTTCTAAATCACTTATATTTGAATCTAGATGGAATATGTTTTGTCAATGTCTTAAAATTGTTAAATTTTTATTAAGTTAAGGTGCATTAGTATCTAAAAGTATTTTTTTTAAATGCATCTAATGTCCTAAAGTATTTTAGTTCATCTAATATTTTAAATTATATTTTGGTACACATAACACTTTGAAATATTCTTTTAGGTATATCCAACATTCTAAATTGCTAAGCCTAAAATTACACTAAAAAATACTTTAAAATACTAGAAGTACCTTAAGATACTAAATGCATCTAAAAAGTATGTCAAGGCGATAAGTGTACCTTTATCTATTTTTATTTTCCAAACAGAAAATTAATTAGCTATTTTCCAATTCATGACCTCCCTCCCATGTCGTTATTTTCATGTCATTTTCTTCACCAAACGTCAACATTTTGAAGCAAAGGAGGAGTAGCAAATATTAAAGGCAGCAGAGAGAAGCCATTTCCACTTTTTTCAAACTGGACACAAGGAGTCATGTCTAGAGGAGAGGGAGAGCATGAATGAGGGGCCACATGTTATAACAAAAAGAAAGATAATGGGTATAAAATGACAGGCCCGTGTTTAGAGGGGAGAGAGAGAGAGGATGAGAGGCAGCTAGAGTTGACTCATATAAGAGATAAGATGAGACTCAGAGCATTTGTCACATAGACACTGTTAGAATAAATAGAGAATGGATCAAAAACATACCGGGTCGGACCTCGGGTCGGGTAGGTCAGATTTTCTTAGCTCACGCTTAAGTTAGACTATAAAAGTCTAAGGTTTTAAGTGCACAACAGAGCACCTTTTTGCAAGAAAGAAATAAGAGAGAGAGATAGTAGGAAAGCTCAACTATTGGAGTAATTTAAACTCATGGGGAGAAGCCTCCATTTATAGCTTTTGTCAGGGGTATTTTGGGTAGCCAAAAATATCCATTGAGTCCATCAGATAAAATCTGAGATAGGATATATAAATATATCTTTATCTCATAATATCATGATATTTGAATTCAAATCCAGAATCAATCATAATTAATTCTAAATATATATATTTAATCTATACAATATAAATTAATTAATTTATTATAAACTAATCAGATTTATATCATAACCGATTGGATATGATTTAGGGTGTTTGACCAAGTCAAACATATCACAATATCGCTTGGATATTTGACTGTATATTCTCTTTATACCCAGTCAAATAATCTGGCCCATCAAGGGCAAATCCAAGCCTAAAATCCAACATCTCCCACTCGCACCTGATAGGCTGCCCATTGTGCGATAGCTAAATCTTTCATTGCTTCATACTAGGTATTTGCCGTGACCGCATGGGTATGATGTCATCGATTCGGGTACTTGTGCACTAGGAATCCTTTATGTAGGACCAACACACAAGAACACCCTTGGTGTACCTGTAAATTGTATGCTTGTTGCCTTGAATGCCCTAGTTTTATCTATACATTTTACTTGTGGCATATCTAATCCCTCTTGAGTTATTTTGTTTACTCAGATTGCCTTCCTATACGCATGGTATCCACACTTGCTTATTTGTTTTGTTCAACCTGTAAGGGCCATGTCACAGACACCAACATAGATGTATAATTTAGGATAAATCTTCCTTTTGACTATTCATCATTTAGATTTGGCATAGTCGCTTTCCTAGTCTTAACCTGTTAGATCGCATCATTCTTGACCATGGGGTTTAGGCTAGAGTAGTTGTCACTAAACCAAATCCTTGTGATGCTGTCTAAGTCTTAAGGGCATTATGAAAGGTTTATTTCCTTTCTGGGACTCACATCATAATGGATCAGGGATCTTCCATCTACATACCATGTTGCGGATTTGAGTAAGCTCATGTAGTATG